TCCATTTTTCTCTCATATAAGCACAGAATAACTATAAGAAAATAGAACAAGTTTTTGACTGTCCTATCTAGTGTCCTCACGTGTACTCTGAAAGGCAGCTCTTATAAGTAGGTACCCTGAATAGACTGTTTCTTTTGCTCCATTTGAAAATTGCATAAGAACAGTACTTACTGTGATAAATAGATTCTATAATGTATAAATACAAGGTTTTAATTCGTTGTTATAAATATACTATAAATCCAGCAACCATTTTGCTGACAAAACATATCAACAAACCAAAGAATAGGACTGATTACTTACGGAGATTCAGAGACTTTTTCAATGATTGCACATTTAAAATAAATTGCAAGTAAAGTTTATTGATTGAATTGAGTAGATCATGACCATGTTATCCAATAAATATTTGTTTTCTTGCAAATGAAAGGTACATGATATTTACATCTAAATGAAAAATGTTTTTTTAATAAGTGGTCCTTTTTATTTTTGCAAACATTTATGTGTGGGTTATGGCAGTAGTCTTTCCTTTTTAGAATGTTGAATAACTGAGTACCGATCAATAAATACCAAGTAAAATAATTCGGAAAAAAAAATATATATATATATATATATAGTGGGTTTGTCTTTCTCTTCCCCAGGCATGATGACATACAGTCTAATACTAGAACTTGGGATTCTATTACTATGAGTCTAAAGGATTCTCTTGATTACAGAAGATGGAGAAGAAAGTTGTAAAACTGCCTGCCTCCTTTCAGTGATTGTTATGGAGCAGCTACATGAAGCAGGTCTGATAAAATCTTTGCCATGGTTTTATGTTTACATGTACGCTGAATCTTCAAAATGTTCCTGTTTATACTCAGTCATACAAGGTCCCAGATTCAATCCAGAGTTATACTTAACATCTGTGCTTGCTTCCACTCTTAGCTTGTAATTGGTTTTGAATTCTGCTGCTTCTGAATAAGGGGTTGTGTGTACAGCAGTCAATCTAAGTTAATGAACAAACCTTAGTTTTAAGCAGTTTATTAAAAGCAGCAAAGTTCATGATTCAAATCCTGGGTACGCTGAAGTCAATGTAGACGTTACCACTACTATTACTTTACCATTACTGTACTTCAGTACAGGCAGAATTTCCCTTTTGGAACTGCTCGAGTGCTTCATGTGTTTAAGTGCATTCGTGATGTACAGACAGGGTGCTCAGCATGTTTCAATATTCTTACGTAGTTAGACATTATGCTGATGCATACTGTGTTGCAAAAACATTGTTTTTACTGGGTAAATGAAGAAAGTCATTATAACCTTTTTGTATAAACTCTGATCCTAAGCGAATTGGGAGGAAAGATGAACTCACAGTTTAGGACTTGAAATCATAACATCTAAGTTAATTTCCATCTCCATTCAAAATTTTGTGTTTCTGTGGACTGATTAATTTTTTTTCATTTAAGTATCTCCTTAAATTGCCTAAAAAAAACAGAACACTTCCTGTCATCATAGAGATGTGGATAAACATGCTGGCTACTCTCTTATGTGGTGACAAGATGGGTTTTATTTTGTTGATTTATATGAAATGAATAATTACTCAGAGCAATACAGATATTAGCCTCATTACAGGAAACAGCGGTTTCTAATGCTTGTTCCTTCATCTTCTGAACAGGAACAAGTAAACCCAGCACTTGGTTATATTTCAGTGCTCCTTTGTTTGCCTTGGCATTTGCTTCACTTTCATATAAATTATTCCAGGTTGCCAGGGTAATGCTATTCATTCGTTTGTTTACATGTTCAGTGTCCTTAAAGCTTGTACTTAAACGGACTTCTACTTTTTTTCAGACTTGTTCACTTTTCTCAAGATCTGTGCAGAATACGGAAAATCAATAGCTGCAAAGTTTTTAATTTTTAATTTTCATTGTGAATTGAATACCATTACAGTATTTAGCTGAATAATACATTATGTCTAATGGTGCATGGTATTATAAATTACATTTCAAATATAATCTTCCCTTTGAAATCTAAGAAGTTTTGCCTTGGAGTATTCTGTTGATCTGTTTAAGTCTCACAAAAAAAAAAAAAAAAATCACATGTACCACAGGAGGATTCTGACAGATTTTTTTTTTCTTGAATAAAGTTAGTTGAATCTACTGTGTTAACAGAATAAAATCAACTAACACAAACAATGGTTTTTATAAAAACTCAATGTCGAAGCAGGCATAAAATCTATTTGTAAAATAACAAGAAAATATTTTCAGTAATATAGTGTCTTAAGAATGTTATGGTTAGCAATAAAAATAATATATATTAGCTAAATTCTGTCAACATTAATGCCAAATACCAAATCCACTGTAAGGAAAGAACATTGTCATCGATACCCGTAAAACTTGATTGTGATTTTGGATTACACAGCATTGAAGAAACCGGTAAAAGAATCTAAAAATAAAAAGCCTTGCCTAACACAATAATTTCTTTTCCTTTCCAGTATGCAAAAATAATTCTTCTTTGTCTGCCTCAAGATCACCTGATTGAATAATCTGGCAAATTATTTTACGCAGTTAATCCATCATGTTGAGTTTTCGCTAGTATATCCAGGCTTTGTTCCCAAGAAAGTAGATGCTGTTTTCAGCTTCTCTCATGAGAGGGACATGGAAGATCCAGGTATTTCCCTAGCTGAAGCTGGAAAACTGTAAAGCTAAATTGTGTGCCTTTGCTGCAAAAATTTGAGAAACTCAGATTAAGAAAACTGTGGATTGGTGAGACTGCCCAATGGAACAAAAACAGGAAATGTGTTTAGATGAGAAAGAGCTATCAGGAATTTAAACAGGAAAGACTGAGCACTACTTGTTACTGCAGAATGCTAATGCTTGTGTGCAGAGTGACCATCGCCAGAACCATCAGAGCTTCACAGAAACTCAGTCCAAGGTCAGGCAATGCAGGTCAGCAGCACAGAGTGGTCCGAAGGTACTTCGCTGGTTAAAAAAGCTGAAAATGTAATTAGAGACGAAGGAGCCCGACGTCCAACTATTGCCTAAATTAGTAGGACCAAGCTGCAATCAAGAATTATGATCAGAAGATCTCGGGCACTCTAGAGAAAGCTCAAAGTATTACCGCTGGGGCCAAGGAGCCGCAGGAGCCGCGCAAACACAGCTGCGGTGACCGGGAGCTGGCACACACAGCGGGTCGTCCCCAGCGGGCCGGAGAGCCTCGCTCCAAAGGGAGAAGGGGAACCTCGCTCCAAGGGGAGAAGGGGAGCCTCGCTCCAAGGGGAGAAGGGGAGCCTCGCTCCAAGGGGAGAAGGGGAGCCTCGCTCCAAAGGGAGAAGGGGAGCCTCGCTCCAAAGGGAGAAGGGGAGCCTCGCTCCAAAGGGAGAAGGGGAGCCTCGCTCCAA